GGTGTCACGCCTGTACCGGGGACCGGCAACAGGATTGCAACCCTCAGTGTTGCGCCCACACCACGCTCAGCCAGTGAGCGGGAACCGGTCTCCACATGGGATCCGAACCCTCCACGGGAGCTCTCCAGTGCGCCACCGGGCCGGCCCTGGCCTCTGGACTCTTTATGTCCCCCTTCCTATCTTCCACTTCACCTAGCCTCACTCCTCAGCAATCCCTTGTCAAAGTCCCTCATTCTGAGACTCCTCCTCCACGAGCATCCCCTCTTTTCAATGGGGGTTGAAAAGAACAGGACCTTGGGAAATTTCAATATTTAAAAAGAGCCTGAGAAGGAATCTGAGATGAGAGGAACAGAGGAGACAGCAGACTCCTGAAAGTCAAGGGAAGAAGGCAGGCACACGCCGACCTGAAACCTGGTAGAGCGAAAGGAACTTTGGGGGTTTGTCGTTGGTTGGCTATTTGATGGGAACACCTTTAAATGTGGATAGGAAAAGATTAGTAAAGATGAGGAGACAAGAGAAAGAATCAAGGATGCAAGGAGTTTCATAAGGAAGTGGGAGAAAAATGGCCTGATAGAGGACTCCTCTTCCATTATATCCCCAAAAAAGTGGGGGAAGAGAAGGTGTAGATGCTCCCAGGGTTGACTGAGCTCAGAGAAGCAGGATGTTGAAGGGCTTCCTTCCTTTTCATTCAGTAAACAAAGACCCATTGAGTGTGCACTATGTACTGGACACAAGACAGGTGGGATACTGGCTTCATGGAGCTCATAGACCAGTGGGGGAGGCACGGGAAACTCTAGTAAACCAGAGAAAAAATAAAATAAAAACTATGGTTAAGGGCAGCTGCAGATTTGCACACACCTTCCAGGCCCTGGGAAACCAAGGAAGACATCAGTAAAGCTATGCTGATTCCAACCCTCCAGCAGGACCTTGAGATAACAACAAAGATAGGAACAGAATCCAGATGGAGTCTTGGCAAGACTTTGCACCTGAGACCATTCATGCTCACATGCCCCTCCCTCCTGTTTTTCATTTCCCATGTTGCATTCCCTCAGCCCCCTCTTAAAAAACCCCTGAGTAGGGGCTAGCCAGTTAGTTCGCTTTGTTAGCGCACAACCTTAAAACCCAAAGTTCAGGGGCCGGCCTGTGGCTCACTCGGTAGAGTGCGGTGCTGGTAACACCAAGGCCACGGGTTCGGATCCCATATAGGGATGGCCGGTTAGCTCACTGGTTGAGCGTGGTGCTGACAACACCAAGTCAAGGGTTGAGATCCCCTTACCGGTCATCTTTAAAAAAAAAAAAAAAAGTTGACTTTGGGGGCTGGTCCATGGCTCACTAGGTGAGCATGGTGCTGACAACACCAAGTCAAGGGTTAAGAACCCCTTACCGGTCGTCTTTAAAAAAAAAAAAAAGTTGACTTTGACAGCTATATTAAAATGAATCAGAGAGGATTAAATGAAAATGGGAGACAAATTAGTAGGCTAATGGTCTACTAACATTTATGATTTTAGTATAAATTCGATTTTGTTTTCATACAGAATATACATATTTTCCTCATTAGTCTTCCATATGAAGGATTTTACAAACCTAAATGAAGATACATTCTGCACACAAGTGGGTAGTTTATATGTTCAGTATTACAAACTGATGGTGTAATGCTCCTACACATAAATTAGGACAAGTGGCATCACATATTTAAAAGGGGGTGACATACAAAAAAATTATGCAAATAGACCAAATCAATAATCCACAGAAGAGATGATGGGCTAAGACAGGAGACAAGATTGATAGATAATTTCCTTTCTGATGGCTTTTATATATATTCTCTGTGAACTAGGGGGCAAAGTTTTCTACTCTGAGAAGTGCAGATGGTACAGGATTGTAGTTTAGAAGAGTAAAGAAAGTTTAAAGTTTAACAGAGAATGAAAGAAAAGGGGGGTGGGGTTGGCCAGTTAGCTCAGTTGATTAGAGCACGGTGTTGGTATTACCAGCGTCAAGAGTTCAGATCCCCTTGCCAGCCAGCCACCCCCAGAAAAGAAGAAAGAAAGGGGGCAAGGGAAAAATGGAGGACCTAGTTGAAGTTGGACACTCTTCACTTTTTAAATTTTAATTTATTAATTAATTTTAAGTTAATAAGTGCTTTATGATTATATTCTATTTTCTAAAAATTAGCATGTTACAGATAAAGCTAAAGTCCCTTTACCATCACCTTGAATCCCAGTCCCTTCTACCATCTCTAAAATTGAGGTGGGAAAGAAAAAAGGTATATTTCAAGAATCCAAAGAAGATCAGTGTGGTTTTGAAATTAATCTTAATTTATTTAAAGAGATAGGTAAAGGCTAAATTATGCAAGGACTTCTAGGTCAAGTGTGGATTTTATTCTAAGTATAGTGGGAAGTCATTGGAGAATATTAAGCAGGGAAGGCTAGCTAATTCATGTTTAAAAAGAATTTTCTTCCAGGTCTTTTTAAATGCTTTCATGTACATATACATGTTTGCCCCCTTAGAAAATATATCATTTTGGTGAGTGTGGATGTTGTGGGGTTCCTTTGTGTGTGTGTTTTTGTTTTGTTTTGTTTATACTTAGTTGGCAACATACTTATGTTTTACTTTGCTACTTCCTTTTTTGACTCAGTAGTTTTGTTTTTTTTTTAATTCTATGTATGTTGCCCTATATAGATCCAGTTGATTTCCTTTTAACAGCTGTTCTATCATATGACTACACCACAGGTATGATAGAGTTTACAGATAGTTTATTTTTTTTCTTATATTCAATATTTTCATGAACATTCTTGTACATTTAAGAGCAAAAATTTTAACGGCACCAATCCACTTCTGTGTGGTTTTTATCCAAAATCACTTGCTGTCTTGGGATTAGTAGGGGAGACAGCTATAGCTGAGCTCAATAAAGGATTAGGGTTTTTCCAGTTCAGGAATGGATGTCATTAGAGCAAAGAAGGTGATGATATTGTCAAGAAACTTTCCAGTGACAGACTATGAAATCTGTATAATGAGAAAAATAAAGAGAGGATGGGGCTGTCGGAAAATAAGAGGGGGCAAATGAATAAAAGAAAATGTAATGAGAAAACTGAGTGAGAGTTTAAAAGATAAGAAATTGTGGGGCCGGCCCGTGGCTCACTCGGGAGAGTGCGGTGCTGACAACGCCAAGGCCCCGGGTTCGGATCCCATATAGGGATGGCTGGTTAGCTCAGTGGGTGAGCGCGGTGCTGACAACACCAAGTCAAGGGTTAAGATCCCCTTACCGGTCATCTTTTTTTTAAAAAAAAAAAAAAAGAAAGAAATTGTGGTCAGACAGTGAGATGTTTGAATCTAATATTTTAGGATTAGAACTGTTCTGAGTAATGACAATGTGGAGGAGAAACTGTGGAAGAAAGTGGCTGAAGTGAAAGGGAGGTGAAAACCCTGCAGTGGAGTGCTTCAAAGAATTGAGAGCCCAGGATTTAGGATGGGTCACTTACACAAACATTTCAGTCATCTAGGATGATGGCTAGACTTGGCATGAAGAGGCTTGCTCTATGCCTGAGGCCAAAGTCTACAATAAACAGAGAGTGTCCATGAGGTTGGTAATAGAATGAACATACTTGTATAATTTGAGCCTTAAGGGAGTAGCAGGCCTCTGTGTAATGACTTGAAAGTGGTATTGGAAAGCAAGCAGGTGAAGACTCCAACTCCCAGTCTTAACACATATAGGATACAGAATAATGACAAGCAACATACCAGAAAGGGCTACGAGGAAAATAATATTCAGAAGGTAAGGCCAGATTTCAGTTAAGACAGGAAGTAGAAGGAACTTTCTGGGAACAGGATGGCAGTATAGACAAGGTTGTCTCTCGTGGGTTCCATAAGACCCCTAACAGTGTTCCTCCCCATAGCCCTCAGCCTCAGCTCCCCAGGGCTGCTCAGCTCTTTGTCCCCTAAACACTCAGCGTGAAGCCCCAGCAATCTCTCCATTGTTCTCCCAAAGCTCCCTCTCCCTCTCTGAGTTTCATCTTTCTCTTTACACTGCCTCTCCTCAGAATCTCCATACTTCCTTACAGGCCCCCACATTGAAATTCAGTCATTCACTTAAAAAAATAATTGCTGAGCATTTACCATGATCCGGGCTCAGATCTAGATGCTACAGATACAGTAGGGAATATAACAAAGTTCCTGCCCTTGTGGAATTTATGTTCCGGTGAGGGGAGACAAGCAATAGGCAAATAAATATAATCTAACATCAGGTAATGGTAAATGCTAAGAAGGATAAAAATAAAAAGTGATAGAGTGAGATGCTGGTTTAGGTAGGATGGCCAGGCAAGGCCTCACTGAATTTGATCAGAAATGGGAATGAGGTGCAAGAGTGACCCATGTAAATATCTCAGAAAAGAGTAGGCCAGATAGAACAGCAGGTGCAAAAGCTTCAATATGGGAGAATGCTTGCTGTTTTCAAGGAAGAGTAAAGAGGTCATTATGGCTGGAGCCAAATGAACAGGGAGAGTATGGTAGGAGATGAGATTGACAAATGGCCAGGGGCCAGATCAAGGGGGATTTTGTTGGCCATGGTAAGGACTTTGTTTTTTTTTTTTTGTCCTTTTTTGAGACCAGCCACACCGTGCTCAGCCAGTGAGCGCTGTGAGCGCACCGGTCATCCCTATATAGGATCTGAACCCGCGGCGGGAGCGCTACT